GATATTGCCGAACGTTAACTGTCTCACTTCGTAACTAGTGCATAAAATGACAAAAATTTGAGCTTTTAGATGCTCTTGGTAGCGAAATTAAATAAAAACACCAAACGTTGAGGTTTTCTTGAGACGTAAAGCAAAAATACAGAAGCATATTTAACGTAAGAAAACATACGTAACTTGTAAACTTGAAAATATGTCAATTTTCTTGTATGTTTAGACTGTAAGTTAATAATTTTCAATTAACTATAAGGCTACATGTTTCAATAACCCTAAAAATCCACACCAGGCGCAGTCAGGGTATAAAAAGGTATGTTTAATGAGCAGTTTCCCAGCTAAGCTTAACCATTCGTTAGCGTATTTACTTCGATAACTTAATGAAATGCGTTTCTGAACTACGTAACTAGTTTTTTTGCGTTGAAACTTAGGTCATTCTAACACGAATAAATTACAAGGTAATGACAAAAGAAAATTCAGTAACCCAGTACAAGCTAAGTAGATTTGGTTGTAAAACCATACTTACTACTTTATCCCGTTACAAATGCAAAAATTATCGTCATGATATTCATAAAGAGTACCGGTCAGTAGCGGTAGTTGTGATGCAGACACGGGTTTATCAATCAAGAGACGAGTTTATGAGAGCAATCAGGACACAGCACCGCCGACAATATTTCCTCTGTTAACTCACCATTTGTTTTAATGGCCGCCCAGCGTATGGCTAATTGAAGGATACCAGCGCTCCGCGGGCGGCCGCTGCCGACTTCAATACAAACGTTTTATTATATTTGAATTGTTGACATACGCTTCTAAGATTTATTTTATAATAACGATATCTTCCAGTAGTCAACGTTTATTACCTAGAATCTGATAAGATTTTTAAAGCTAAATTATAAGTTTATTTCTTAGTTTATTAGAAAAAACTTTACATGCGGTTTTTAATAACTTTTTCGTTGATGTATGCGAGCTAATAAAATTTTTAATATTTAGTAGAAAGCTGGTTCTATTATAGCACTTCTATGAGAGCACCTCGGCCGTTACGGACGTAAAAAATTGTTTAACCTCCGACCCGCAGATCGCACGATAAACGACTCAAAGATCAAAACGAGCTGCTCTTGATGAAAACGTGATTTTAAGAATGCAAGAAATATGCGAGTTGTGTATTTTTTTTAAATTACTCAGAACGCTAAAAGTGACCATCTCGTAAGTTTTACGACCTATAAAGATTTTAAAAACAGAATCTCCCCGATGACATCAATTCCGGACCCGAGTGGTCACATCCACCTAATTTAATTTAGACAATTTACCGTTTTTAGAAGATCGCTGCATCGTGCCTTACCGCAGCACTTCTCGGAACCCATAAAGGACTCGCGAGCTGCGCGCGCATCGTTTGTCCACATCATCCCACTTTCTACATTAGGACGTGCATACATTTTACGACGTATGTTAAACCCATCTCTACAATTTACAATCGTCACCAACGCATTTATAACAACTTTTTATCCTACCGCAATTTATATACTTGACCAGAGTGAATTTTAACATTCCACAGATAAGTAATTCTATAACTTTTATGGTTAATTTGTAAATATAGTTACAGATTAACTATTTTATTTATCTGTGGAATGTTAAAATTCACTCTGGTCAAGTATATAAATTGCGATAGTATAAAAAAAGGTGTTATAAATGCGTTGGTGATGATTGTAAATTTTAGAGAGTTGAAACAAAGGCACTTACTATTTTAAAAATGAAACTTGTTAAACTAGTTCGATAGAAGAATCCAATTGAATCTAGTACACCGCCTTACTGCAAACGGTATCGAAAACAATGATTATGTTTTATTCATAAGCAACATCATACTTGTACCTACTGCTGGTATTATTTCACAAGTACATAGTCACTGATACATAGTTACTATACTGATACCTTATGTGGCGATGTAATGGAAAAATTTGGCACAAATGAAAACCTTCGCTGATGACACGACTACGGACTTCTTAATCTATACTACCTACAAATTTATAGACACGCCTCTGTTACGTGAGCATAGTAATTTAATGCGCTATTAAAATATCACCATTCCAACAATTCAGATTCTTCTCAAATAAATCAATTGTATCGCACAAAAAAGGACATCAGTTTAAGATCGTATGGTTTTATTGTCACTTTAAAAAGCAGGACACGTTTTCAATCTACAAATAAACGGGGTCCATTGAGGTCCATAAATCAACGGGCGAGAGCGACGGCCGCAAGAGCAGCCTATTTCCATGTCATTAGGCGCGCGGGGCGCAGTGTTGAATGGACAGCTTATTAATATCGTGCAGCGGTCAAAAGTTAATCGGGTTTAAGTCGCTCGTATCGCCCACGAAGATTCATCACAATCGTCATTATTCACACACAAATTATGTAATTTCAATAAATGGAACTTATTGAATAGTGATGAGCGTCGGTAGGCCGGCGCGGGACCCCTGCCGGCAGCCGCGCGCACTCCAATATTATTAATGTTCTTTATTGAAACTGGCTCTACTTACAACGTATCATACATTACTATTTCGATCACATAGTTCTAACCTCTGTCGGCTTTTGAGCCAGCAATGTAATTCACATTTATGTAAACAACTGAATTTTGTTCGTTACGCGGAAGTTTTGAAGGTTTTAGATTTAAATGGATAGCCTACAAACTTATAAAACTATTTAACGTAGCTTTCGGAAGTTGTGATGTGAAAAAACAATATAAATTAACTAGCTGTTGCTCGTGACTTCGTCTACGTGTAAGTTATCAAAATAGCCTATGTTACAGATAAATTACCTTTCTAATGGTGAAAGAATTTTTAATATTGGCGCAGTAGTTTTTGCGTAATTCAAATATACGAGTATACAAAAATCCAAAATTACAAATGTTTCCTCTTTATAATGTTAGTATAGATGAAGGCTTATTAGTTGTTTCTTGGTAATTCTGACAAATGGCAAGTTCGTGTAATAGAAAAAAATCTCCGTCCGTAATCAGTCAAAAGTTCGTTAAGGATAAGTTCAAAGTGTACGTCTTCGTACATATTGCATTATTTATCATCACCAATAAAGAAAGGAGCTCTATAATAGATCGAACGTAACGTCCGACACGTCTGTAACTGATTTATAGGCAAATATTAAATCTGTTCTCGCCGGGACTCCGGCTGAGTAATGACCGTGTAAAACGCTATTTGTGCTTTTGTTAGAAACACTACGCCAATCAATACAATGATTGGATCCCTGTACTTTTTATGTCTTTTTTGTACAGATCCCAAAGAAGTTTATATGATGAGATTACTAAAATTAGTCAATCCACACTTAGATATAACATTTTTTATAATATAAGGTAGCAAACGAGCAAGCGGACACCTGTATTCACCAAACTGGCGATTCGACATACCCATAGACATTCTCTTCTTCATCTTCTTCTCTAGACATCCTATACAAATGTTTAAGAGGGTAAGCAGAGGCCACAATAAGATCAGTTCACACGTCCCCACCGAGAGGCTTCGAAACCTACTTAGTAAGTTAGGGAACTAGGTAGGTAGGTACTAAGTTAGGGAAGATTGGGCTTTAGTCAACACCACTGTCGCAATTGGTTTCAAATATATCTTTGAATGCCTTCGATATGTGCAGGTCACGACATATGTAATTCGTAACCGAAAAACACATATATACATGGCGGGCATTGAATGTGATCGAACTAGACGTGTGAATGACAGTCCAGTCCGGAGCGCTTAACAAATGAGCCACAGCCGCAATTAAAATATTTTGTGCAAATAATTGACTTTAAATAAAGTGCCATAAAAATTCTTGGATTCATATACCATGTCTGTTATTTGAAAAGTCGACTTTTGTATATAGAAAAAAAAGGAAATTGAAGAATCCCAGTTCAGACAGTAAGTTTCACTGTAGCGTCTTTTTACTCTTTTTACGCAAAAGGTGGGAACGCCTTCGGTGGCAATCATTTCGGGCCAGGTGAACGAGGCTTATCAATCACACGTGTAAGTCGTCGACAAGGCGCTCAGGTACGGAGGGGTCTGTAAGGGGATGGTAAGGGTGGGGGGAGGGGAGGCACGGGTTATCAAAACAATACAAAACGCGGTATGTTGTCGATAGTGATCACGACGAGTATCTAACTCCATTTTTTGTCGCTTGACATCGCGCTAATAATACTTATGAGAAAAATGCGCGCCGGACCCCCGTCATCCTCCTTTTGTTTTTAATTTCTACCTCAGTGGCACCGATTTAATTGGGCTCGCCTCGCGCCGGCGCACCTTCGTATTTCACCCCGGCTCGCTTCATTTGAATATTTAAAGCGTTTCGGGTCCCCGTCGCATTATTTTGTTTATTTACACAAATACAATATTTATATATATTTATTTCAGAGCCGGTGTCATTTATTCGGTGACGTGACTTACCGATGTCGCGTCCTTCCCAGTATCGGCATAGTTAACGCAGTGAATTCTCTCGCGTTCCATTTTAAAAGTTTTAGGTGGTTCGTCGCTTTCGTCTTTTTGTCGCAGCCGCGTGTGGCGGCCGGCGGCGGGCTGTGCTCTTCGTTGTTTTCTCGACGGCTCTTATCTTCGACAAGATTGCTCGTTTTTAAATGAAGTTATATCGTCCCGATTGAACACCGGCTACGGAGGCGAGGCGAATTTTTAATTAGTTTCCGAAGATAGGGAATTCTAAGGAGGAATGCGGGGGCCGTGTTGCGAGTGTGAGCGGATTTCTTAATCGAGCCGTGGTCGCGCCGCAGCGACGCGGGACGATTTGTTAAATGCGAACCGATTAATTATGAATTAAGAGCTGGAATTGAAGATTTCGCGCGGCGACGGTCGGCGCGCTAACGACTAACGAAGGCACGTAATGAAGGCAGGTTGCGTAGCACGCCATATCCTGCAGCTCGCCTGATGCCGCGATACCGAACAACCATCTCGCCACACCGCTAGGTACTGCATTAGTAAACGGAACTGTTGGGAAAACAAATTTTGTTTTATTTTGTAGTTTTATTTATTCAACATTCGGGTATGTTTAGGAACATAGCATTTACTGAACTATAGTTATTACTTCAAAAATGTAAAACAAATTGACCCTTACCTACAGGTAAAAAGAACATTAGCTTGTGAAATTCTAAGTAACAAGAAACTAATAACGAATTCATTGTTCCGGAACGAGCGCCATAACGTTAAAACAAATATTGTCAGGTTCGCGCGCAATGAAACTGCGCAATACTTTCGCTGCGTCCTCCAAAAATCGGTCTTCATTTGTAGACCCATGTTCTATGGGGAAGGATTTTCTGCCATCCAGTTCATATAAGGTACCGTCTTTATGAACGAAGGTAACAAAATGATGGCTCACAGTATCCGACGCGGTGACCTCTTCGTTACTGCTGGCCGCTACAACATCTTTATAGGCCTCCAACATAGCTGCTGAGTTCTCTAACAAAGCACCTTTTGCCGCCGCGTCAAGACCTTTGGCGTTCTTTAAATAAGTCGCCAAAATACCTTCTTCTAATTCGATATGATGTGTATTGTTCGCGACGCTATGAACAAGAGCGATAGTGCCGCACACATTACTCAGCACTTGCCTCAAATGGAATACATCTTTGGGAGCCTGATGCCCTTTGCTTAGCAAATCCTGCTCTTCTTTACTTCTTAAATCTTCGTATGTCGTCGATAGAGGGAACAGAAGAGTGAGAGCGAGCACTGGTCGCGGTACCCAGTCTAGTGCCTCCTCATCCAAGCTGATGACGTCAACCATCCGCCATTTGTCAGAAACGCCCAATCTCTTCAAATATTTATTCATCGTCTCAGGGTTCGATTCCATCGCTAATACTGCAGACATTTTTATTATTTTAAATATTTTAGTTATAATATCAAGAAATTATTTCAATGACAAGTTTTAAGACAACTTTGGTTTTCGATTTTAATGACAGAATAATAAAAGAGGTTGAAATTTATTCAAAAAATTATAAATCACATTTATTAATAACAAGCTGTTGTTCGCGATTTCGTCCACGTGGAATTAAAAAAATGGTAGAAAATATAGCCTACGTTACTCACTGATGACATAGCTTTTTAATGGTGAAATAATTTTTGAAATCGGAGTATTTTTTGAGTTATTTCGGTACATACAAAGATCCAAAAATGCAAATCTGTCCTCTTTATATTATTAGTATATAGATTTTATCAAATATACAATACGCAATAAATGTGCGGTCGTCAAATTAGGTAAAAAGTAATGAAAAATAAACAGTGTTTAAAACTAAATGCTATAGGAACAATTATGACGTTTACCTCTACCCTATGAACGTAGTCAAGCCAGGGTCGATTGTATCAACAATAGGAATAATTGCCGTGTAAAATTAAATTGATATTAATTGCGACGAGCAAGTCGCTTATACGTACAACTTGTTATAAAACCTTCAGGTGTTTTTTTATGGAATTTTCCATTAAATAATTCGTTTTACATTTTGAATTTATTAATATGACTTCAAGAATCCAACTTGTATTAAGGGATACGTAAAATAATTAACAAGATGTGAAATAACAAGATAAGAATAATAGTTAAGGCTTTTTTTGTATTATATTCCTATTTTATTCTTTTTTTTTTTCTATGTTACATTGTAAATTTCATGCTATTTTGAAAGGTGCGACGCCTACAAACCACGTAAGTGGTTTGGCGGCAATGTTTTATGTAATAATATTGTAATATTTTTGAAATAAAGTTTTCAATAATAAGGAAATAAAAAGGAAAGCAAGAAGCATTAATTAACTATCGTCACTTGAGGATAATTGGCTTCGGACAAACTGATGTGCATTATTGTGATGAAAATTATTCCTTGCTTGGTATCACCAGCTCACTAAACGTCCCCACTGAGGGGTTCGGAGCCTACACAAAGTTAGGGTGACTAGGCCATAGTCAACCACGCTGGCCCAATGCGGGTTGGTTGACTTCACACATATCTTTGAATTTCTTCACCAATATGTGCAGGTGGCTTCACGATGTTTCCCTTCAACGTAAGAACGTCGGGTATATTATGTACATATGAAAAATCGAAAAATCACATTGGTACATGGCGGAATTCGAACCCAAGACCTGTAGATTACAAGTCAAGTGCTTAATCCACTGAGCCACCGACGCTTGCTTGGTATAAAGGTGAGGTTAGTCTTTCGATTTAAGTACTGCTTCAACATTCTTTTATTTTAATATCTATAAGTAACAAATTAAAGTCGAATATTCATTGTTCAGTTGTCTTGCAAAGTAACATCTTTTGGCCTTTCGGTTACCAAAGCATAGTTACCGCGGATCATGATGTAACACTCGATGGCTTCTTCCCTCTTATTAAGGTGTCAAATATTGTCAAACATTCTCGCCATCCATTAAGGACGGCAGAGGCGGGGCGGGTGTTAAGTTATGGCGACCGATGCACATGAGATTCGGATCGGACGATTGATTCTGCGATCTCAATCTTAAGCAGTAACTTTTACTAGTTTCGCCTAATTTTATTCAACAATACAAATATTAAATTCTATGTTCTTTAACATAATGTGTTACATTAAATTGTTTCCTTTTAAAAAAAAAAATCATTCTTCAATACAGACTAAAGATTGAATTTGAGTATCTTAAAGTTGTAGTATAGTTATATTTACTACCATAACAAACAATACGTTTGTCATATGCAAAAAATATATAAGGAAGTAATAGCAATGTAAATTAAACGCAATAAAATATGTAATATCTTCAGACATATCCTTAGATGGACATACACAGATACGGGGCGTGTCCGATTGTCCGCTGACTACCTTCAATTATGGCTTAAGAGCGCTCATTATTATGAAATTCGCTCCGTGGATACAATAATCGATTCGCATGACAACACGTCGCCGCTGGCCTGGCTTGCTATTATAGGAACACGTCACTTGGAACCTACAAACGTAACATAAAATATAAACAATGTCAAACGTAGTTTAGGCTTTATTAGAAAAGCCATTCTAAAATTTTTTTAATCGACATTTCAAAAAGCTATGGAATAAAACATAACCTCAAATTACAAGTGTAATGACGTCACAGTAAAATTTTACAAAACGTAGAAAGGATAAATAAAACAATAAGAATTTCAATCTAAATATTTATTTCGCTCGCATGCGTACAAGTAATGATTAAAAACGATTACACATTGATGTCCCTACATCCCTACATTTTGTACTGAACAATTTCAAATGATGGCCCTATTTGTAAAATCTAAATATATGTCAATAAAATAATAAACATAAAACCCAAATATACACGTATATACGGTGTACATAAAAATAATACATAGCCTTAATATGCCTCGTCATTGTTTCTAAATTATAAACTAAAAAATATACCTATACACTACACAACTTCCCCCAGAAAACAGTTACAAAGGGATTAAACCACGAGAGCTAGTATTGATACTATTTTCAGTCTAAATTATTCAAACCTAGGTAACTAATTGATGGGCGTTGCAGATGATGTAGGCTAACTCTAGGGGGGACAGCTTCCGTTAATAAGTTTTTTGTAGGCGTTTTTGAGAGTCTCTAAGAGAGGGGTATAGCTGCCCCCCCTTACCTCTGGCAACGCCTGTAACTGTACTAACCACGAAATAACTACAAAATTACAAACAGAAGAAACAAAACAAGCAAAACTACAGATATTTAATTTTGTTTTCAAATTCTTTTTGGTTTAGATTTTTTAATGCATCTACTTCTTCTACAAAAGCTTAAAAGATCTACGATATTACCAAAAATAAACTATGTATTTATGATTATTTGAATACAAAAATATTCTTTTCTTACTTTCGGGAAGATCGCGTAGCCTTGTTTGATAGAATTTAAATGTCAAACTATAGAAGATTCGAGACATTTTTTCTAAAGAAGACTTGTAATAATAGTTGATTACAAATTTTATAGTCAAGTGTGAATTTTCTCGTTAATTTCATTTTTCAATGGGTATATATTCTATCACGGTGGTTAAAAGAACCCCTTGGATAAAATTTAAATTTGTCATCTAAACTTTGAACTTGCCTCATTGAAATACAGTAAATAAACATTGTACAGTATCAATGTGGAATATAAACTTTGGGATTATTTACTAAGAACAAAATTGGTTACTAATCTACTTACTAGTGTATCAAATAAACAACTACGTCAACATACAATAACTACAACATTCAATAGTGACCGTAGAATTCTACTTTATAGGCGTCGCCAATATCGGGGGGTGGGGGCAATGATCAAGCGGGGATTAGTAGTAAAAAAATATTATCACGGTTTAAACTTTTTAGATGAAAAACTGCTAAAAACTATTACAGTATTTTAAATTTGTATGTTCCGTCGCCTACAGGCGTTAGAGTGGGGGGAGACTGAATCTGGCGACGCCCATTAGACGGCACTGAAACTTAATTGCATAGTGTTTTCTCTTTCATTCTATTTGACAAAATAGAGAAAACATTATACAATTCAAGAGTCTTTGCAATCTATTCTACGGTTAGGTTATAAACAAGCATAAACATTATTCTCATACAGAACGCGTCTTAAATATAAGATAAACATGATATTGTTCGTTGGAAAATCGACCTAAACACTAAGACTTAGAGCTAAAATTACAAAAGCTACAGAATTGTATAGTATTTGAAAATATCACTCGGTTATTGGAAAGACTTTGTAACTGACTGAAAAAAATATTCAAATTCAATAATAACTGCTCATTTTTTGTGCTTTTGACGTTAATATGAAATAGTCAAAAATAATTAATAATAAGATCATATATTTTATGTCCACAATTATGTTTTTTTTTCTATAGCAAGTCCATTTTGATGGTATACTCAAAAATTTGAAAAATAATTATCTTGCTAAGATAAATGCAGCTTGCATTACTATGTTTAAACTCTGGTTTTTGCCAATTCATAAATATAAATATAAATATACAAGTGGACATTAATAGTCAATTAAATTTAAAATTAATAATTTCATAAGAGATCTCAAAATACCAAAATTGATACCTTTGGTTGGTTCTAAGAGCGTTGATTTTTGTTAGTTATTTTTACGAAATAAAGTAAAACCAGTCTGTTATTATGTAAAATTGGTTAGAAAACTTTAAAATTGTCAAAATACTATATTACTTAAGCTAAGATTGCACTGTCCATGGAAGATATACTCGATAACATACATCAGTTGCATATAGTTAGGAGGAAAAATGTAATCCTCAAAAAAATTGTATTCATAAAGCCGTTTTTAGTAAAATGTAAAAAGTCAAAATTTATAAAACCGCGAATTTCCACTTACTACTTGTATTAAATCAATTTGCCTAATATAATGAAATGCATTTGTAGATTTTTTTTTGGAACAATTGTTATAATATCGATTTTTAGTAAAAAAATATTTAAAAAAACATGTATTGAGCAAGAAAATCATTAAATCTTAATACTTAATAGCATCATATAAAACTAAAATTCATTTTGGATAAAAATCATAAAATAAGATATAAAAAAATAAATTTCATTAAAAAAAATCTAAAAAAATAATTGGAATAAAAAATTTAGTAGATAGAAAATAAATTTAATATTTTCATACTTTACGAAGGAATGAATGCATGATGTTTAAATAATTAAATTCCAATAATTATCGTTTAAATATCATACAAAAAAAAAATAAAGTAAATTTAGCAGCCAATTAATCTGTTTAATGGAAATCCTTAATAAATATTAATTTCAACTGCTTTATCACAATTTATAACCCAAAGTTGTTATTTAATACTGATATTACGGTTATTTTAACTCCATATTCCACAAATAATTGTCTTACAAAAAAAAAAATTATCGACAAAAAAATTGCCACCCCTAAATTCACTGTCAAACTATCAACTAAATATTTGGTAATGATATTACGAGTACTTAGATTTAAAAAAATATTAAAAAAATAATATTATTGCCTTTATGTTATAAACTTAAATATATCAGCGTACCAAAAAAATCACAAAACGTTACGACACTATAATAGGGTTGCCACTAAAATAAAAAACTAAATTTAATTCATTGTATGTGTATGGCATGAATCAAATGCAATTATTTCGTTTCTAAACTATCTGATGATTTTGTAATAAGTTTGAATATAAATGTGGGTTTCCACTGCAGTGATATTTACATTGACAGATATTGTTGTCTCTTTTTACATAGATAATGTTAGGGATGGCAATGTTATAAAAAAATCACTGCAGTAAAATTCTACATTTACGATTGTGAATTTACTCAAAGTACAAAGTATTTTGTTAAGATAAGAATTGAAATATTCCTTAATTATCAATTCACATATCTTTGGCATACTCAAATGATATTACACTTACTGTGTATATTAATGTTAAAAAATTATAGTTATTTAAAAAAATATAATTTGTGCGTTTGAAATAAATCCATTGTTAAATACTTGAATGTAAAAAAATATTTATTGCCGTCATAAATTTTTGTTTTTTATATAAAAAACATTATGAACATATCAGAATGCTAGCATATATTCTTAAAATGTTAACACTAAACGTCTAAGCTTAGATTTGGTTGAATTTATCGTTAAAAATATATCGTATTTATAAAACTTTAAACTGTCGTGTTTTTTACAAACATAATGTCCGTAAAATACGGGTTTCTAACCACGATTGGATTGTTTTAGCTCCCAACTGTAAAATATCGGGAGCTAAAACAATCCAATCTTGGTAAGAAACCCGTATTTCATGAACATTATATTCGTATTTATAAAGTTAAGAATTTCTAAACCCTTTTTTTTCAAAGTTTATACTAAAAAAAATATTAAAACGCATTTTTAATCATTGTCAATTATTTGCTCATAAATTCAATCATCTTTTGTAAAAATAAAGGGGTACCGGGTTTTAACCCCATTTTAGTGAATGTTCAATAATTTTAAATTTTTTTGATACTTTCGGATAGCGTTTGAAATACGTTTCCCTTTTATTAGAGAAAATGAGAATACATTTTTTTAAACTAGACATACCTAATTATAGCTTACGTAATTACTACAATTTAGTATACCTAGATTAATAAAATGTACTAAATCATACTTGCTTTATAGAGGTAGAGGTATGCCTCTGATATGGTGTTTGATTTTATATTGCTCTTATTATAGTTTTAATACATTGAAAACACTATCATTATTAGCACTGTTTGTGTTTGTATGTTCAATCAGCATTGTGTTTGTTTGTGTGTTTGCATGTTCAGCAGTGCGACTCCCCGTTCTCGTGGTGTCCGGAGTCGAAGCTGCTGAGGTGTCCGAGCCCCTTGGGCGGGATGGGCGGCGGCGTCTCCTCCACGCGCAGCGGCTCCGACATCATCGAGATTATCTCCTCGTAACGTAACGTTTCCACTGTTAAATCCACATCTGGAAAGTGATTAATAACAACGATGAAAAATCTGTAATTTTAAAAAGTTGCGTATACATCCCCATCATAGAAAATATCCTAACATTTAATGGAGAACATGAGAGTTAAAAGGTATGTATTAACGCAGGGGGGGTGTACGTACATCACATATCTGTGTATATATACAGTTGTGATGTTTGTGTATTCTGTTGTGGTGCACGAGAATACCGTTGTTGTGTAAATGTATTCTGTTGTGGTGCACGAGAATACCGTTGTGGTGTAGGTGTATACCGTTGTGGTGCACAAGAATATTGTTGTGGTGTAGATGTATTCCGTTGTGGGGCACGAGAATACCGTTGTGGTGTAGGTGTATTCCGTTGCGGTGTACTTGTATACTATTATAGTGTATGTGAATACTATTATGGTTTTTGTGTATAGTATTACCATGGGCGTATATACCGTTGTGTGCGCGGTGTTCGTCTGCGTTGGTGTAGGCGTGTGCGTCGATACTGACGCCCGAGTCGCGCTCATCGCCCGCCTCGCTGCGCGCCGCACGCCGCGGCACCGCCGGCGCTTCGCCCCACGACCGCTTCTCACCTACAACATACAACATTCAATTAATACATATATACATAACTGTATATTACTCATGACCAACTGACTATACGTTCCCACTGAGGGACTCGGACCTTAGTTATGATCAGGCCTTAGAGTCGTAAGAGCGTAAGATCGTACCATAAGAGCGTCGGCTAAATTATGTACATGTGAAATTAAAAAAAATCGAAAATCACACTGAACTGAATAGTACTAATGTAGATTAGTTTCATTTGACACAAGAAAAAGATGTAATGTCTAAAAGATATTAGTTATGGGAATATTTCCAGACCTGACACTCTAGGCGGCAACGGGGGCGCATCTCCCGGCTCACTCCATGACGCTCGGCTGTGTCGCCGCGTCTCTACTTCTTCATCCATCGAATCCCTTACAAAACAATAAAAACACGTTAAATACCATAAAAACCAGCTGTTCGCACGGGCTTCTTTAGCAAGAAATTATAAAGACTGTCTTATGCTGCTTACATTTGCAAATGTCAAACTTCAAATACTTAAATAACAACGAAGATCTCTACTATTGCTTAACAATTTCATTCCTATGTAAATCTTGCTTCTTGCTATTCAGATGTAGTTTTAGTTCCTTTCCCGCGTAACTTTTTTTACTCCCTAAACTAAATAACATGACGAGGTTTTTTTTTAAAAAAAATGCTGTATCTAACAACACATAAGAATATTTCGACATTAATTATTGTAACAGCGTAATTAACTTCGACACTCAGACAAGGGCGGATCCAGCTTTGGCGCCAGGGGGTTACATAGTCGTGGTCAAGTCAAGAGCTTGACAAAATATGTAAATATATTTTGTCAACCAGCTAAGGAGGGGTCGTGACCCCCCTGAACCCCTCCTGGATCCGCCCCTGCACTCAGACAACTAACTCTCGCCAGAATGGCGCACTCTTATACGTCTGAATGACATTGACAGCTGTCAAATAAGGACGTCTAGGCCAATCTAGTGTTGCCCTGTTCTCCAGCGTACCGATTTTCTTCTTAACATTTGCATACCTATAGTTGTCTAGCGGTCTGGTAGGGCTCCTAGGATCTCCGGACTTGGGTCTGCAGGGCAGTGGGGGGGCGGAGTGCACCATGGAACTGTCGCACTCACGGACTTCACGGACCTCACGACCCTCGTGCGCAGGCAGACTGCTCGACATCACGCCGCTTTGGTCGCATTCATCCAATGTATACTGGAATAGACAATTTTTTTTACTATAACGCAATAATATAGGACAGGGGTGGCGAGCTACTGGCTCGAGTGCCATAAATGGCATACATAATATTTTGAGCACATCAACAATCATAAAAAAAATATGAAATAGGTGCACCATTTAATTGACGTAATAATCGCAGTCAAAATTATTCCATGGCACGTATAAAATCGCATTAAACATTTTTTAAAATCAGCATCAGCAAAAATTAACAAAATTCTCAAATAAAGAGAATAACTATCGTAATTAAAAATACCTAAAAAATAAATCATTTCAATTTTGTGATCTCATTTAATTTTGTTAGAAAAAAAGTAAAGTGATTGAATTTTGCTAATGCTGATAATGTGTTCGTAAGAATTTCTATTTTTAAGAATAAACATAAGATTTAGCACACTTTAACTTATGATGTATTACTGTGTTAAAAATACTAATAGTAAATACTTACAATAGGTTTATTATAGAGATGTCCGTCCTCATAATAATTATCACTTTGTTGTATGCTTTGTGATCGTTTATCCAGCGCTGGTACTGGAGGCAGGGGAGTGCTGAAATATAAGTATTTTTATAGTTATTAAATAAACTAGCTGTTACTAGCGACTTCGCTCGCGTGCAATTAAAAAATACATAGCCTATGTTACTCACAGATAAGTTACCTTTTTAATGGTGAAAGAATTTTTGAAATTGGCTTAATAGTTTTTACGTGAATCGAATACATACAAAAATACAAATCCTTCTCTTTATATTAGTATAGATCATCTAAACATATTGATTTGTACAATACATTGTTATATTTTTTTTAATTTTTAAATTAAATTTTCACGTAATACATATGTAATCAATATACTAACTTTACGATACTTTCCGAGAGCTGTCGTCTAGCGCGCGCCAAGCCGGGGCCAAGGTTCTGTCGTAACTGATTGAATCTTTCCACCAGTCGTCTGTAAGTATAATGTTGCAGTTTTAGAAACCATCTCCACTTAGTAACTTAACACTAAAGTTAATAAATAATCAGCGATAACACGATTGTTTAGTTAAAATACTACGATGCGACCAAACGTAATTTACTTATTTATTACAGTTAACTAGGTTTTGCGCCCAATTTTGTTTGGACGGATTAAAAAAAATAATAAGCAGCTATTTGTTTTTCCAGACTATGTTCTACATCTGTGCCAAACTTCGTTGAGGTTCGTTACGCCGCCGTTTTTACATTGTAAACATCCATCCATCCATCCATACAAAGTTTCACATTTATCTTACTAACATTATAAATGTATTAGTTTAGTTGGATGGATGGATGTTTGTTACTACCTCCTCCTACCTCCAGACCACCTAAGCAAGTCTCAATGAAATTTCATTGAAATTTAGAGCATAGTCTGGAAGAACACATTGGCCACTAATATGTATAACAATACATAGTATGACACAGCCTTTATATTTACACTAAACAATATATATATATATATATATATATATATATATTATTTTACCCTTTTTTCCTCATAGTATGAATATCTCACCGATGCAATGGCTTGACTTCCTCAGGAGCCAATCTCCCGTGCAGCGTCAGTCCAGCATCGACCACAGCTAGCTGGGAGGCTATCAGCCTGCGTAGCTTAGCTGCGGCTGCCAACTCCCTAGGAGACGCTGTCCTTGAGAACTCCGTTGTTAAGAATGCTTGTTCGTATTTACTGATGCCTCCTTGAACATTCGCATCTATAGTTCCTTGTAACCTCATTGAGAATGGGTTGATATTTTGTGTAGGGTCAGCTGTATATTGCGATATGAGACTACGTAGTTCTCGTTCTGTCGCCTCCATTGTTTCGCAAGCGTACTGAAAAAAAGAAATATTATTGCTACTGCTTAACAATCTGTTCTTATGTCAATCTTGATTCTTTGTCACTATTCGCATGTAGTTTTAGTTCCTTTCTCTAATGATTTTTTTCACCCCTAAACTAAATAACATGAAGAGCTATTTAAAAAAAAATATGCTGTATACAACAGCACATGAATTTTTCGACATTAAGGGGCAGTACTACCAAATTCTCGTAAATTGCCTGATAATAATCAAACAGATAAAATACGTGACGGAAATATAGGATTTTTTTGTT